ACGTGTACAGCTTTACAGTGTGCTGTGTGTTGAGCTGTCCCTGGTCAGTATGGATAGACCCATGTAGCTTGGAGCATGTGTTGAAGAGTGAAAATGTCAGAGCCAGCGTGCCGGCTTTGAGTCCCTGCCCTGCCATTGACGAGCAGGACATGACGGACAAGTGATCTCTGTGTCTGTTGCTTGTCTGCAAAGTGGGATGCTGGCCGTGCTGCCCTGTTGGGCTGCTGTGAGGGTGGAGTGAGTTAACACACACACAGCCTGTAGAAGGGTGGCCGTCTGCAGTTGTCTCTGGTGGCTGTGTGACGTTCCGGAGGGAATGTCGTTCTAAGTGACGCCTTGCTGAACACCCTGTGCGCCCTTCTTGCAGGTGTCGAGTGATGCTCGCTCGATACTCTGAGTGTGGCCAACATGCGGGGCTCAGGTGGCTTACTGCTTTTCCTTCCAAAGGCCAACTGTGGTGACCTTGCTGAAGACGGATCAACCGTTTCAGGGTCTGGAGTCGGGGTCCCACACTGCTTGCTATGAGGGGACGGGGGTGGTGCTGGCCTCTGAGCAGCCCTATGGGGCTGAGGGCTGGCCCAGGTCCTCTCACAGGGCAACCTCCTGACGCCCCTGCTCGCTGGGGCCCACGTTCCTAACCCCACCCTCAGGTTCTGGGGCAGGAAGCAGTTCCTGCACTTGGCTACTGGGAAGGAAGGTTGCGTGGGGGGCAGAGGCTTCCTGTGTGACCTGGAGCTGATCTTTCCCGCTCCTGCAGGTGCATGGCATACTTCTGTTTCCTTAGAATGTATTTATTCTTTTAGATGTTTAAAACATTGAACAGATGAGAACATTGAGGCACAATGTGACAACACAAACTCCTCTAGTTGGCTAACTTTAGCTGTGGGTTTAATCTGCGACTTGATTCTGTAGCAGCTGCAGAACAAGCAACACAGGTTTTGGAGTCAGCTTCTATTTATATTTGTGGCCTTCGGAGATGCATTAGTAATTCTTAAAATGTATTGTACATACAAATAACATGGGGAGCTTGTTGAATGCAGATTCGAATTCAGGAGGTCCAGGGTGAAGCCTCAGATTCTGAGAACAAGTTCTCAGATAATGCTGATGCTGGGGGGTCTAGGACCACACTTTGAGTATCAGAAAACTATCTAAACATTAATTTTCTCATCTGTAAAACAGGGACAGTGATTACTACCTGGGAAGATTATTGGCAGCATTAAATGAGTCCATGAGGTGAAGTATCTGACATATAGGAGGATTGCCACAAATATAAATGTGCCTCCTCTTCCCTTTCACCTATTTTGTTCCTACTTAGCTCAACAGCTTGTTCAACTCTTTATGCAAGTTTTCTCTGCCCGTTTTCACTAGGGTCATTTCCATATTTGTGTAGCATAATCAGGTTCATGGCAGAAAGGCATGTACGATTCATTAAGAGCTCATCTTTGTCCTCTTTCCCGAAATCAGTGTTTTATGTTACCTCCAATGTTATATGGAAAATCTAAGCCAAATGTGAATGTTCAAAATCGAGTTGATGTGCAAGTTGCTCAAAATAGCTTTAAATCTTTACTTAACCATTAACAAAAAATTATTATTTGAGATCACAAAACAAAACCTAATTGTATTCTTAAAAGAAACACATTTACTTGTTTGTTTGTTTATTTATTATTTTTTGTGACAGTCTTGCTCTGTCGTCCAGGCTGGTGTACAGTGGCGCAGTCTCGGCTCACTACAACCTTGCCTCTTGGGATCAGGTGATTCTCCTGCCTCAGCCTCCCGAGTTGCTGGGACTACAGGCACGTGCCACCAGGCCCAGTACAACACACACACACACAAAAAATACAATAACTTTTGTATTTTTAGTAAAGATGGGGTTTTGCCATGTTGGCCAAGCTGGTCTTGAACTCCTGGGCTCTAGTGATCTGCCTGCCTGGGCCTCCCCAAATGTTGGGATTACAGGCATGAGTCACCATGCCCAGCCTAATTTTTGTATTATTAGTAGAGATGGGTTTCGTCTTGTTGGCCAGGCTGGTCTCGAACTCCTGGCCTCAAGTAATCTGCCTACCTTGGTCTCTCAATAGGCTGGGATTACGGGCATGAGCCACCATGCCCAGCCAAGAAACACTTTTAAAATAAATGGTTTCAAAATGGTTAGAAATAAAAGAATGTGCAAAAGCATACCAGAAAATTCAAACATAAGCCAAATGAGGATTCTAATCTTAATATCGGACCTGTTAGAAGTCAATTCACAAACTGTTCCAGAAAGTAAATGAGAAAGAAACACTTCCTAGCCCATCCTCTGAGGCCAGTATTATCCTGATACCCAAGCCAAAGATATCACAAGAGAAGAAAACTACAGGTCAGTATCCATTAGCAATGTAGATGCAAACATCACCCTCAACAAAATACTAGCAAACAAAAGAGAATTCTACACCGTAATCAACAGGGATTTATCCCACGAATGCAAGATTGGCTTAACATTTGAAAATCAATTAATGTCATATACCACATTAATAGAAAAAAAGGACAAAAATCACATGATCATTTCAATAGATGCAGAAAGAGCATTCAATAAAATCCGGTACCTCTCAAGATAAAAATTCTACAGCTAGAAGGGAACTTGTCAAAGGGCATCTATGAAATACCTACAGTTAATATACATTTAATAGTGAAAGAGTGCTTACTTTCCCTCTAAGATCAGTAACAAAACAAAGATATCCACTCTCATGACTTGTATTTAACTTTGTAGTAGAGGTTCTAGCCAAGGTTAATTAGGAAAAAATAAATAAATAAATAAATAAATAAATAAATAAATAAAAGACATCTGGACTGGAAAGGAAGAAGTAAAACTATTTCTAGTTTTACTTTGCAAAAGTAATGACATTGCAAATGTCATGATCATGTATTTAGAAAATCTAAAATAATCCACTAAAGACCTATTAGGACCAATAAATAATTTCAGCAACATTGCAGGATGCAAGATCAATATAACAAATCAATTGCATTTCAATACATTAGCAACAAACAATCTGAAAATGAAATGCAAAAATAATTTCTTTTATATAACATGAAAAAGGATAAAATACTTAGGAATAATTTTAACAAGAAGTGTAAGACTTGTTTACTAAAAACTGCAAAACATTGTTGAAAGAAATGAAAGGTCTAAATAAATGGAAAAACATTCTATGTTCATGGATTGGAAGACAATATATTAAAATATCAGTACTTCCTAAGTTGATCTATGGATTCAATGCAACCTCTATCAAAATCCCCAAAATTGACAAGCTGATCTTTACATTCATGTGGAAATGCAAGGAACGTAGAATGGCCAAAACAGTCTTGAGAAGAATGATACAATTGGAGTACTCACGCCTGCAATTTCAAAACTTACTACAAAGCTGTAGTAATTAAGACAGTACTGCCATAAAGATAGACATGAAGATCAATGAAACAGAATTTAGAATTGACTCTAACTTTTATGGTCAATTGACCTTTGAAAAAGAGGCCAAAATGATTCAACGGGGGGAATTAATAGTTCTTCAACAAATGGTGTTGGGGAAACTGGATATCCACAGGCAAAAGATTTAGATGCTAAAAAAATAAAGCCAGTAAATGCTAAAGTAAAAAGTTGAGGAAAGTCCTTTATAACTTTGGGGTGGAGAATGACTTTTTATTATGACTAGAAACCTAGAAGCCATAAAAGATCGATAAATTCAATTACTTTTGAAAATACAAGCGAATCCCACCACAAGTAAGGCTTAGAGACAAATGATACTTGGGAAAAATTGTTGCAAGTCATATCAGAAAGGATTAATTTTCCTAAATATATAAAGAGCTCCTGAAAATGTCACTTCTAATGAACATTTAATACAAGTTTACTTGTACCCATGTGAAATGGCATAGGAACAAAAGATTGAAAATAAATTATCAAATTGAAATTGTTTTGGCAGCTACAAAAAAGAATGTCAAAACTCTACATGGATATGGAAATGTCACTAAGATACATTGTTAATTGAGAAAAGAAAGAGTGCATAAATAACATTTGTCGGCAGGGTAATCCCAGCAATGTGGGAGGCCCAGGCGGGCGGATCACAAGGTCAGGAGATCGAGACCATCCTGGCTCACATGGTGAAATTCTGTCTCTACTAAAAATACAAACAATTAGCCGGATGTGTTGGCAGGCGCCTGTAGTCCCAGCTACTCGGGAGACTGAGGCAGGAGAATAGCGTGAACCCGGGAGGTGGAGCTTGCAGTGAGCTGAGATCGCGCCACTGTGAGCCGAGATCGCGCCACTGCACTCCAGCCTCGGGGACAGAGCAAGACTCCGTCTCAAAAAAAAAAAAAAAAAAAAAAAAAAAAAAAAAAATTGTCTATTTGTATAAAATGGGAGAAGACTAAGACTGTATATTTGCTTTTTATGCAGAAGGATACATAGGAAATTAATAATAGTGGCTTACCTGCAACGGTGAGGACTGTATGGTACAAGTGGATAGATGGGAAATGGGGTAGAAGGAGAATTTATTATTTATTCTTTTTTGAGATGAAAGTGTTATGTATTTAAATATTACATCGATTTTTTAAAAAGGGCTCCAAACTACTTTGTATTCTACTTTGAAATTTTTCAGACTTAAACAAATAGGGCTTTTTCAGTCAAGCAGCAGGGCTCATGGCTGCCCCGGCATCTCCACTCCCTGACTTCATCTCTGCTGGCTTTTGCGTCCTCACTCTCAGGCAACCCCCATCCCATTTCGACCTGCTTTTCTGGTCTGATTCCTTCTGTTCCTCCTCGCTCTTCAAAAGTGTATGCTGTAGCACCAACCCTACTAAAAACCTGTTCCATACACACACACACACACAGGCACACGCACGCACACACGCGCGCACACGGGCACAGGCGCACGCACACACAGCCACGCGCACGCGCACACGCGCTCACGGGCACAGGCGCACGCACCCACAGGCACGCGCACGCGCACACGGGCACAGGCGCACGCACCCACAGGCACGCGCACGCACACACGCGCACACGGCACAAGCATTCCTCTCACTCCCTTCCACTATGCCAAGCTGTTTTGTGCTTTTGAGTCTTTGCTCACACAGAAAAGAAAGTGTGGAAGATCTCAAAGGTCAGTGTATCAATAACCCATTTCTTAAAGAAAAGTTTTTGTTTTTCCCTTCGAGATAATTCAACCTTGCCCAAAGGCCTAGCTGTCATTTCTAGCAAGCCCCAGCTAGATGGCCCTGGTACTTTCTCCCACTCTCTTTTTCTTCTGGGTTAGTATCCTAGGGCTGCCATGACAAGTACTACAAAATGAGCGGCTTAAAACAATAGAAGTCTACTTTTTCATAGTCTAGAAGTCTGAAATCCAGGTGCCAACAAGTTTGGTTCCTTCTGGAGGCTCTGAGGGAGAAACCATTCCGTGTTTGGGATGGCAATAGTAGCTTAAAATGGTGACCTCTGTAGACATCCTTGAAGCTAGTGATGGCCATGTGTCCCAGTTCTGGCAATGAAAAAAATATAGACAGAGAAGTTTGTTGAGTGCAAGATCTAGGAAATCTATTATTTTCCTAAAAACAAGGAATAGGCTCAACTAACATGTTAAGTTTGCCCTTCACTCTTCCTACTCCCTCTTGATTGCACTGTGGATGTGATGTTTGCAGATATAGCAGTTATCTTGTGGACATGTTGCAGAGAACAGCAAGCCAGGGGTGGCTGAACAAAGATGGGTAGAAGAAGCCTCGCTCTTTGATGGGTTAAAGGAGCTACAATGCCAACCCTGGCAGTCCACGACTGACTTGGTTTGTCTTTTCTTTTTTGAGATAGAGTCTCGCTCTGTCTCCCAGGCATGATCTTGGCTCACTGCAACATTTGCTTCCCAGGTTCAAGTGATTCTCCCACCTCAGCTGAGGTTACAGGTGGGCGCCACCGTGCCCAGCTAATTTTTGTATCTTTAGTACAGACAGGGTTTCACCATGTTGGCCAGGTTGGTCTCGAACTCCTGACCTCAGGTGATCCACCCGTCTCGGCCTCCCAAAGTGCTGGGATTACAGGTGTGAGCCACTGCGTCTGGCCTCTCTCTTTTTTTTTTTTTTTAAATTGAGATGGAGTCTCACTCTGTCACCCAGGCTGGAGTACAGTGGTGCCATCTTGGCTCACTACCACCTCCGCCTCCCAGGTTCAACCAATTCTCCTGCCTCAGCCTCCCAAGTAGCTGGGATTATAGGCGCCCATCACTATGCCTGGATACTTTTTTTTTTTTTTGTATTTTTAGTAGAGACAGTGTTTTGCCATATTGGCCAGGCTGGTCTCGACCTCAGGTGATCCGCCTGCCTCTGCCTCCCAAAGTGCTGGGATTACAGGCCTGAGGCACCGCGCCTGGCCTGAAGAATCTTTTCAAATGCAACAGGGAGAGGTAAGGTTGTATCAGAATGTTTTCAACTGTAAGTATTCAAGGTAGTTGGAAACAGTAAAGAAATGTATTACCTCATATAACAAGAAGTCCCAAGATAGAGTGGCTCCCCGGTCAGTTAATTCATTGACTCAAAGATGTTGTCAAGGGCCCAGTTGTTTTTTCATCTTCCGCTATGCTATTTTCAGCATGTTGACTTGATCTCTCTGTCTCTCTTTTTTTTTTTTTTCTGTTGCTCCTCTTGTGGTTGAAAGAGGCTACTGCAGATCCAGGCCTCAGTGAGATATGACAGTATCCAGTGGAAACAGAGTGAACACCATTTTTCTTTCTTTTTTTTTTTTTTTTTGCCAGTAACTAAAACCTTTCACAGAAGCCATGTAGCACACTTCATGTCTTTTTGTCCTAATCCAAGCATTGGCAAGAAGAATTAATTCATTTGTTCGCTCTTCACATATTTATTGAATGTCTATTATGTGTCACTAGAGTTAGGAAGCCTCAGATGGCAAAACAGGTAAAAATCATACAGCTTATATTCTAGTGGAAAGAGGTTAAAAAAAGAACCAAATGAGTAAAGTGGTGATAAATGTTATTGGGACACACTGGGGCCTATTGTGGGGAGGGGAGAGGGGGGAAGGAATAGCATTAGGAGATATACCTAATGTAAATGATGAGTTAATGGGTGCAGCACACCAACATGGCACACGTATACATATGTAACAAACCTGCATGTTGTGCACATGTACCCTAGAACTTAAAGTCTAATAAAAAAAAAAAGTGCAATGGGAAAGGGAGATAAGGCATCCTGGTTAGGGAGCACTAGGGAAGGGATCAGATAATTGGGTTTGACCAGTGAGAAAACATCCGCTGGGGCTGGAACTGAGGGTAAAGATCACCACACCTGAAGCAGATGGTCCCTTGGAAAAGGAAAATGAATAAAAATGAGGTTATCTTAGGAAGAAGAAAGTGAGAGACAGTTGTTAAACAGGCAATTACCGGTAAGGGCACGCTATGGAAGTTGTGGGGCATAGTGCAGAATGAAAATGCAGAGTTCTTATTCAAAAAGTAGGAAAAAGCATCACTAAAGAAGACAAATGTAACTGTCTTTTTACTTTCTTTCACAGTCTTTTTGTTGACCTGTTATGGTGGTTTTAATTTGCTCTTTAATATCTTTATAGGTAAAGAAAAATTGAAAATTTCAATTATTAGTATGAATTTTATTATTCATTTTGATATTGTGCAATGCCTGTTTTGAATGCAAACATAAGAGCTTTTAACTAATGTGTGGAATCACCAAAACTATAGTTCCTATTTTTGTGGCTCCTACATGCATACACATTTTATTCTTACCAGAACAGTGGAAATGACACACAAAACAAACTCAATTGTCTTATTTCATTGCCTTTTTTAAAAATTTTATTTTTGAGACGGGATCTGGCTCGGTTGCCCAGGCTGGAGTGCAGTAGCACAATCTCGCTTTGGCTCACTGTAGCCTCCATCTCCCGGGTTGAAGCGATTCTCCAGCCTCAGCCTCCTGAGCAACTAAGATTACAGGTGCACACCACCACACCCAGCTAATTTTTGTATTTTTATAGAGACAAAGTTTCACCATGTTGACCAGGCTGGTCTCAAACTCCTAACCTTAAGTAATCTGCCCACCTTGGCCTCTCAAACAGCTGGGATTACAGGCATGAGCCACCGTGCCTGGCCTTATTTCATTTCATTTTTCTTTTCCTTTTTTTTTTTTTTTTTTTTTTTTGAGACGGAGTCTCACTCTGTCGCCCAGGCTGCGGCTCACTGCAACCTTCGCCTCCCGGGTTCAAGCAATTCTCCCGCCTCAGGCTCCTGAGTAGCTGAGATAACAGGCGCACACCACCACACCTGGCTAATTTTGTATTTTTAGTAGAGATGGGGTTTCACCATATTGGTCAGGCTGGTCTCAAACTCCTGACCTCGTGATCTGCCCACCTCAGCCTCCCAAAGTTCTGGGATTACAGGCATGAGCCACCGCGCCTGGCCTTATTTCATTTCTGAATAGGTGCACGTTCTACCCATAGTTTCTACTTGTTATTTATTGATAAGTAAGGAAGTTACGGAAAGGAAAAGAAATTATGGGCTGTCCTATCTTTCCCTTTCTTTCTATGTTGTTCGTTTCCAGCATAAGTGGTTGGCTAATATAGGAAAGTACATGAATAAGAAAGGAAATGGTAGGATTTCTTGATTGTTTGTGTTTCTTAGAATGTCATTGTCTTCTTTCTGCATTTATAGCAGGATTTGGTTTGAACATAAAGTTTGGGGGTTTCAGTGCTCCCGTGAATCATAGATGTAACACACTTACCTTGTACTGCCTGTGAATCTCCATAAGCTCTTACACGCCGTGGGTCCAATTGAATACTGTGCTCATGGGGCATTGCTTTTGCCCAATTTTAGATTTCTGAGCAAAATAAATGCCGCATTTTTAAAGCTGTGAAATTTTGTGGTGGTTTGTTATGTAGTGATAGTAACTGGAATATATACCAAAATAGGTCTGTACCTTTGAAAATGTCATCTCCTCAGTCATGACTCTCAAGAAGGAAAGTGATACCTTAGAATCAACTGGGTCACATTTTCAAAATATAGGAAAACTCCATGACAATATATTCTATGATAACACGAATTTGGATATAATAAAATTGACTTCTGTCTTCCACCCCAACTTGTTCTCAAAATCCCCATCATATTTAACTTGGAGAATAAAACTGCCACCTGCAGTGCCAAACTGCCCCGGGGAACTCCGATTGTGCCGCTGGAGCCCTGGAATTACCAGTTGGATTGCTGGTTAGACTCACTCTGTTAATTTATTTAATCTTGGATCAAGGTAATACTAAATTTTACGTTATTGAATATTTTGTACCCAACTTATTATGTTACACTGGGGTTTTATGCATGGCTGACTGGATCAGCCCTTCCAAATTCATTTCCTCTTTCTAGATCCACAGGTAAACTGCATTTTCCAGGGCCTTTGAGTCAATGTGTGGCAGTATGACTAATTCTTGCCGATAGAATGTGAGCAGAAATGAGATGACATTTCCAGTTGGGACAGTTAGGAATGAATGTGCTTTCTCATTGTTTTCTCCCCTTGTCAACTGGATGGCACATTGTTGAAAATGGTGGATGCCCAGCATGGAAGAAGACTGAACCATCACTTAGAGGAGAGCTGCTTACCCCTCACTGGGTTGTGGCATGAACAATAAATACACTTTTAAGATACTGAAATTTGGGAGTTTTAATTTTTACTGTAGCATAGCCTAGCCTATATAAGGAATTTAAAGGGGATTGCTGCTATAACCCTAAAATATGTGTTATTGGCTTAATAGTTGAATATAGGAGAATAAGAAACTGATATTCTGGGCTGCAGAGATGGCAGATCTATGGTATAGACTGGTAAAGTATTTGGTAAAACTGCTTCCTGTGATATCTTGGGAGGTAGGCCATGGCCCTACTGAGCCGGCAGTTCTGGGGGAAATGATTATAAACAGCCAAAATGTTACTGCATGTTGGTTTCTATTTGCTGCATTTTGGGAAAGTATTACAAGAAAGAGATGAGGTTAGGAGATAATTGGCTGGTGTAACCAGAAATAAAAGAGATAAAGAGACTCTAAAAATTTGAGGCATTGAAAGGTTGGAAAAATCCAACGGCTTCTAGACTCCCAAATATAGGTAATAAGACTGAGACAAAG